TCTTTTCCATCTTCCTCCTGTCTGTCCTTTCAGTTTACTTCCTCATTATTTTCTAGCTTTGTGTATTTTTCCCTCCCTCCTTTGTTCTTTGCTTGTTTTCCAGTAGCAGCTAAAGTGCCTTTTCATTTCACTACCTGCCACCCTGTACTTTCCATCTGTGTTTCAGTTTACTTACTAACGTGAATTACCAGTGTGACAGAATTAAATGACAACTTTTCTTTTGTGACTTATTTGTGGCTTTTTGTTATTCCTAGAAGGTTGAATGGCAATAAAGTAAAGAGAGCGATCGAGGGATATGCAGAAAATGGCAAACACAACAGAACTCAGGTCTCTGCAATGAGTACACAGGTCTCAATAGTTGGAGCACGAGTACTCGGTCCTTGCCCTTTCCTCTGCCTTTCTGTCTCCATTTCCCCTTCGCTCCCTTTCAGTCGTACATGCTCGAGACCTTTACTTAGACTTAGAGACTTAGAGTTTTTTATTGTCAATGTGCAGTTTCTTGCACAGCGAAATTGGGTAGCTGGACCACAAAGGTGCAAAGGTAAGAAGAGAAAACAATATACAACAAGGGGAAAACAAATAAATAATTAAAATAAAATAAAAAGCATATATGCATACATATATGTGAGTGAAACTATATACATGGAGTATGCGTAAGAACCATTGAAACAGAAACATTGTGGGTCTGGATACAAGAGCAGTTATATAGTATAATAAATAAATAAGGGTGGAGGGGCTAAGGTCATTTAGGGTGCAGATGGAAATTCTGCTGAGACCACACCTTTTATGCCTTACACTTTAACTCCACCACCCCCCACTTTTAGATAATTTAAGTGGAAATTAAACACAGCAGTAGCAGGTAACTTTTCAAGCACAATGTGTCACACTAACAGGTCTGCAGTGCAGATCAATCAAATAAAAGAGTTAAACTCTTTCATTAAAGATGGCATTCGATTGTTCAAAATATATATTTTTGGCACGTTGTCAGAATATTCAACCAAAGTCTTCAATTATTTTTCCACTGCATGTTAAAATCGCGTGTACATTTTTTAGGTGTGGTTTGAGATGTAAAGGGCGGGACTAATGATAGTCATCTCTCCAGCAGTGCATATAAAGCTGCACTTGTTCCCCCCTCACCACGCAGAGGTACTGCTACACTGTGCTTCATCACGGCCATGGCTTTCTGCAAACTTCTGCTAACTGTGTTGGTACTGCTCCACAACAGTGGTGGTGAGAGAGAAAAATGCTGAACCTTAATTTCCCAACTCCAGAGCCCAGATTTCAGAGTGCAGCCTCGATAGACTGATGCTCTAATGCTTATCATCCATTCTGAGAAAAATAGCAAACAGCTCTTACTTTGATGGGATTTAATTTTCTTACATCCAGCATTTTGTTTGTTTTTCAGGTCTACTGGGAAATGAAGTGAGGAGCTCCATCATTGGTGCAGAGGATGCCAAAAAGGAAAGTTGGCCCTGGATGGTTCACCTCAACATGACATCTAATGATTCGAAAATGAAATGGGGCTGCGGCGGCTCCATCGTTTCAAAGCAGTGGGTGCTGACTTCTGCACAGTGCGTGGCTAAGTAAGTCTGTGTGTGTTTGCAGAAACGTGTCTCATTATTTTTATCAACATCCTCCAGAGCAGTCATAACAAAAAAGCTTCACACTGCATGTGAGTATTTTGGGGGAATAATTACTCATAGGGACCTTCACTGTTGGCCAATAAAGACAAAATCATTTCAGAACACTTTCCCACTCGCCTAACTTGTCAGACCTGGAGGCCTCAGTCAGTATTTAAATACACCATATGCACATTTCAGCATTTTAAGCTGTGTTTTTAGTGAGTAGCTGCATATTTACACACCCAGCAGACACTGCAT